GCATCGTGCACAGCTTATCCTCCGGGCCTTACACGACAGAGCCTTCTCCCTGATCTACAAAAGTCTTTGGAGTGACATCAGGAAGATCAGCTCTTTAAAAAAAATGACTTCAGTAGGCCTGGGGGAAAAAGATGACAATTTGCCAGTTTTTTCTCATTTGCTCCCTGTGACGGACAGGTCAGTAACCACTCCTTGTCCATCACCATAGAACCTTGATATATCAACCAATGGGTGAACAGAAGAGGCGGGACTAAGGAAATATAAGAAGAATGGAAGACAGTTAAAGATCAGTTAGGGATGAGTTAGGGATACGAGTTAGAGTTAGGGACTTCAGTTAAGGATATCAGTAAGAGAGAAGCAGTTTAGGCAGTTAGGCCCAGCCTTGTGTTAGAGAAGGGTAATAGAGAGATAGAGAATAAGACAAGGAAAGTACAGAGCTTGCATGGTTTATGGTTATGATTGGAAAGATTTAGAAGTGAAGAGAAAAGGGTTGAAAACAATGTCATGCCTGAAAGTGAACCTGGGTTGTGTGGAAGAACAAACAGAGGAACTGGGGGGGGGGCACTCCCTAACTCAGGTCAATCCGGGGGGGGGGGCTTTGACCAGGCATGGAAAAAAGATGTGAATTTGCCTGGTTCCCCCCCTTCTTTTTTCCCCTAACTCAAGTGGGTGCATTTGAAGCGGTGAAGTCACACAACAGCCACAGTTTGATTTCAACATGCCTAAAAGTAGATGTTCCTCAAGTGCAGAATTACAGCGTTTAGTTCAAGAGTTTGGAAAGTATATTTTCAGTAGTGGCGGTGATATTTTGGTTTGGAAATTGTGTGAAGTTAAGGTGTTAGCCCAAGAATGTTTAATATTCAGCAACACTGTGATACCATGAAACATAAGAGTTATTTAGCAAGATTTACCTTCACTGAGAACAGGCAACATCTCCTTTTTGAAAAAGGGTCTTCTTCAACCGCAGGCTCATCAAAGCCCCAGTCAGAATTTTGTAAGGATTTCTGTGTAATGGTTACTTCAAATGTTCCCCTAAGGAAATTAAGTAGTGGTATCTTCAGACATTTCTTGGAGAAGTACACTACAGTAATCACTTAATTCCAAATGAATCAACTCTAAGGAAAAATTACATCTCTGCCTGCTACGAAGATGTGTTAGGAAAAATAAGATCTGCTGTTGACAATAAAAAGATAGGGATTTCAATAGATGAAACAAGTGGTGTAAATGAAAGATATGTAGCTAAGGTTATTATTGGCACTCCGAAATGTGACAAGCCTGGTGAAGTATTTCTTCTAACACGTGAAACTCTGCAAAAAGTAAACAATTGCAATATTGCTATGCTTTTTGACGATTCTATGAAACTAGATGACCAGATGGTGTAAAAAGGGGAAACATCTGCCTCTTTGTAACAGATGCCGCTCCATATATGACTAAGGCAGCCAAGGGACTTACACTTCTTTATCAATAAAAGATCCACATCGCATATTTTACACATGGTTTACACAGAGTGGCTGAAGAGATTCAATGCAACTATCTTTCAAATGAGGGGGAAAAAAGTTCATCAAAGTTCTACTTCAAGTAGAAAAGTTCAAAGAAATTGCTCCTGCTTTGGTTCTCTCTCGGCAGCCTATCGTGACATGTTGGGGGACTTGACTGGATGTCACTATGTATTTTTCCACAAATTATGATTCCTTGCAGTGGATAGTTAAAGACTTTGTTGTGAATCTCCCTGCATCAAGATTGTGAAAGATTCCTTTTCTAAAACCTTGGCCGGAAACTTGGAATATATAAAATCTAACTTCAATGGACTTTCAAGAGCAGTCACCGGCCTTGAAACAGTCGCAATGGAACTTAGTTAAACAAATAGACAGTGATTTAAAGCAAGCAAAGGGAAAAGTGGCTGAAAAAAATAATAATGATAAACTGTGAAGAGTGCTGGAATCTAATCTGGGTTATTAAATACTTTGCAAAAGAAGTAACTTTCTAAACGGACTCGAGGCAAAATGTTATGACTTTGAGCCAGAACTTTTTCCAGATGAGTTGCCTTCTCCCAAATTTGTTCCTATAGCTTCTTGTGATATTGAGCAGAGTTCCTCCAGATACAAAAACATACTGATGGACAACAGGAGGAGTTTTGAGCTTGATAACCTCAAAATGCACGTGACCATCCAATGCAATTCTGCTGTTGATGAAAACCAATCCAGGTATGATTATTTTACTCTCAAAATCTTCATTTGTTTCATTCAGTACTAGCATTTCTGCACTGGAAGTGAAGAAGAATATACCTTTACATTTTTATGTTTGTGTATAAGCATAGTTCTTTTTTTAAAAAAATGGGTGGCAATTTCAGAAAAATTATGAAGTCATATTTTTGGTTTAATCGGTCATATGATTTTAAGGTCATAAATGCTTGCATATTTCTGACATATTTAGATCATAGTACAGTAATTCTCACCTTACTGTCATTGGATAGTCATCTGAAGTTGTTCTTGCAAAATTGGGAAGAGGCTACATCATACTAAAAAGCATCATGGGATCTGAATCAGTGTTTCCCACTTCCAAAAATCTAGGCTTTTCCTCGGTCCTACCAGGTTTATAGCATCCGACAGAAGAATGAAGAGAACAGTTATACTTATTTCTTAGGCCCCTATCATAGAGGAGCCATCCTGGGACCAGCATTCTAGCTGAACAAACTCTTTGGCATATCTGGCAAAATCCAAACAAACAAACAAACAAACAAACAAACAAAAAACCAATGATAAACGCATGTGGCACCTTAAAGACTATCACATTTTAATGGGAACTCATTGGCCTAACGCAGTTTGCGTCTTGATGTTGCCTCCTTTTGGACAATTGTCTACCTGTCCCCTGAGACTTTTTGGCATTCCCTGCCTGCAGTTTGAGTTGTCTGAAATGTTGCCTCATTTTGGACAATTGTCTACCAGTCCCCTGAGACTTTTTGGCATTCCCTGCCTGGGCTGCTGGTCTAATGCCTTTTACTTGGCAATTTGGGTAGTGTGGAGACCTTTGGGTAGTGTGGGCGGCATATAAATTAAATAAATAAATAAATAAATAAACGGGGTCCCTGAACTGACTCACTTGCCTCCCTTTTCAGGTTAAAAGAACCATCATTGTGTCAAGCACTCATCCTTTCTCACTTCAGTCTGGTTTTCTTAGCTGTAGCCCTGATCAGATCTCACTCTCCTCTGGTCTGTCCCTGAATCCGGTCTGTGATGCTAATTTATGTTACCCAAATGGGTTACTGTTGTTTATATCCTGAGGAGAGGCACCATGAAAGGAGAGACACCCTAGCCAGGCTACCAACAAGAAGACCATACACAAAATATTTTAGGTTACCCACTATTCATATAACATTTATAGGATGAGACATAAGACATAGGATATAAGACAAAAGGTACCAAGAGGCCTCTCTTTCATACTTCCCATTCACACAAGATGCTCACTCATCCAAAAGACCCTTCTCTGGTGGATGATCAGTCCTCGTCAAGGGTCCTCATTACAGTGCTGTTCAGAAGCTCACCTGTCTCTTCCTGGGTCGTCCTTCTTAGTCAAGGGTGATGGGGGATCGTTACAATGCTGTTCAGAAGCCCACCTGTCTCTTCCTGGGTCGTCCTTCTTATAGGCATAGAATTCCCTTGCGGGCAAGCAGAGGTCAGGCTCTGGTCTCCTGGGCAGATACAATCGGTTGACATGAAGAAATGCTTTCTTTCCCATATACAGTTTTTTTCCCCATACTTGGCTTCAACTAGTCTGTTTCCTGCAGATCCAATCTGTTGACATGAAGGAATGCTTTCTTTCCCATATACAGTATTTTTTTTCCATACTTGGCTTCAACTAGTCTGTTTCCTCTTCCTTGTCTGGACAACTGGTTATAGCCAGCCTTCTTTCTTGTTTCTATCTGCACAAACAAGTCCACATTTAGAATGTTCTTTCCACGTCAGCAATTTCTTACTTATATAGAAACGTGAAGTCTTGCAATTCTTTGCAGATTTGTGTCAGGCTCACCATCCCATCTTCCCTTGGGATTTCTCCATCTTCCTCTCAGGTCTGGGGTACTGGTCTTTCTGGAACCCACACACACTCTGTCACACTCTGTCACTCATAACAGTTCAAGATAAAATCTGACTTTCTCAGTTCCACAGCTACATTCCTCTTGGTGATTCCATAAATCCAATACAGTCTCTAGGTTTTTAAAAGAAAATGAGTTAAAAATGGCACCCAAGCCATATGTATAATGAGCAGTTAGATTTGATTCCATGTTCCATTATTATTCTTCCCTTATCTCTGATTGGAGAAGGCATTTATAGAACCATGAGCTGTTGTTTTTACACAGAACAGAAGCTCTGGTCTTCTTAAGAGTAATAACCATCTCACTAAATGTAATACAGTACAGCAATTCAAATAATAAACATTCTTTTGTCTTAGACATTTTACTGACCAATGCTGAATGTTTTCCTGGCCAATGTTAATGCCAGTGAATTTTTTTTTCCAATTCACTAACATTTAATGAACCAAATTAAATTGTGTGCCATCAAATCAATTCTGACTTTTGGTAACCCTTTCCAGAGTATTCTAGGTAGAGAATACTCAGAAATGGTTTCCCATTCCCTTCTTCTGGGGGCGCCCTGGCACTCTGCAACAGCCCCAAGGCCACACCAGCTGGCTCTTCTCTCTAGAGGCACAGTGTGGGGTTGAGCTCCCAGCCTCTGGCTCTGCAACCAGATATTAAAATCACTGAGCTATCCAGCCTGCTAATTATTAACCAATTTAGGCTATTTTAAAATGTTAAACTTCTGAGCTTTGCTTTCCTGTGTTATTGTTTTTCAGACGATCATACGCAAGTATCTTTCCATGGCTTCACAACTGATTGCTTTTATCTCCAGAATAAATTAAGTGCAATTAGTGATGCTTCATTGCTGACACTCTTAAAAACAATAAACAGTTAGAATATATACTCAGAGAAGACACTTACAGTAAGATGCATTTGACAGCTTTATTTTATAAAATGTATTTATTCACAAAGCATAAATTCAAAAAACAAAATGGGGAAGAGAGATGAGAACAAGGCAAGGTATGAAGTGTGGAAGGACCATGACAGGTCCTTCAGGAGATGAAGAGAATGGCGCTTCCAAGCACCACAGCTGGTGAGGGAGGTAAAGAAAAGGTGAGGCACAGAAAAAAGATGCTCTTCTTCAGTCCAGTGGTGGAAATGCAAGTAGCACTGATCCACAACTGAGGGGCACACAAATAAAGGTACTCCCAGTTTGTGATTGGTAAGGGCTTTTCTTTCATTCTCATGTGGTTTCCTGATGTCACCCCACTGTTAAATCTGATTGGCTGCATGACAACATCAAGACATCATCATCACTCTGACTTGACTTTGAACACTATCACGTCCTTGCATTGGACCAGCTGAATGGGAGTAAACATAATCTCTGTGCCTTAGTGATCCCTGATAATGTAAATTTAATTTATATCAAGAAGAAGTCTTAACAAAAAAGAAAGCAGAAAACCATCTGTTAAAGCTGGAGTTCACACAAAGATATTGCTACAATGAGGTAACAAACGGCGCAAACAGTAGGCAGGGGTGTAAGGTGCATTTTGAGTGCTAAATAAGGGTTAAGCATTCAGACATGCAGATATGTATCACCTGATGGGATATAGACCAGGAAAGGTTCTACCATATGATTAACTCTAAGGATCGTGTTGTTATCGTTACTGATAGATTTATAAGACAATTACAACAGAAGGAAGTATAATCTGTAGAATATTGTATCCAAATCCTAATGAATTCAGTCGCTTTGCAGCATAACTTTAGTATTCTTAATTTTAATGCATAGCTTCCCCCTTCACTGTGATCCAGTTTGCAATTTACAAAAATTACATTCCTATATATTAGGAAATACATTTTCTCCATAGATACTTCACAGAAGTCATAATTTCTTCTTTCTCTCTAGTTGTTTCTTTAGTCTTCTTGGTTAAATTTCTCATAGACCCCAGGAACAAAATATTTGCTTTTTCGTATCTGTAAAATAAAATAAATATTATTCCGCACTGCAAGAAAAATACGTTCTATGTTCCCATAATACAAAGCATTTGAGATGCCTATACAGCTTCCCTCCTGCCTTCACTTATAAATTTAATCTCTGATATTGATTATGATGGTGATGTGAAGAGGAAGAGGAGGAGGGAACGGCACTGATGCTCATAATCAGGTGTCACAGAATATGAACTTGACCTTTTCATACTACTTGGAAACATTATGAAATGAGTACCATTATCTACAAAATTTCTTCTGCTGATTTTGCAACCACCCACATGGAATCAGACACAATGGGAAAACTAAGGATCTGATCACACAGATTGACTGCGATATCCCATACATTTCCAAGCAACCATGCAACATGCAAGAAAATATGCTCCATCTTGACCCAACTCTATCCCCAAACTAGACTTTTTTGGTCCAGTTGTAGGGCTTCTACTTTTGGGGGGCAAACTGCAGTGATTCCTTGACAGATGGATGGTTGCTTTAAGGGCAATTGATCCTATGAAAACAATCCTCCCAGGTGTGATCAGCCAACTGCTTTTGGAACTATCTGATCCATCCTATATTTTTCTGGCACCTGTTATTAGAGAGAAGCAAGTCTATCGTGGTTGTTCAGTGCATAATTCACAGTCACAGAAATCTTACATCATATGACTAGAAGTGTAACAGTTAATGAATTTTTTCTCATAATTTACAAAAGCATCAACATTGTTGGTAAAAGATCAAGCCATCTTTCTTATTTTTCTAATAATGATTTCAAATATTTGACCTTTTTCTGATGATATTTGACCACAGGTTGACTAAGATTAATCTACTGGCAGGATGCCTAGTGCTAGTTTGGAGTTATCACACTTCTAATGACTGTCAGGAGTAGAACAAAATCTGAAGAACTGGACTTGAGATAGAAACCATTTGTCTAGTTTACAAAAATCTAATATTGAAAGAAATGGAATTGATCCACTGTTCACCCCTTGTTAATGATCTGAGCCTCGTGGTGCAGTGGTTAAACCGCTGTACTGCAGCCAAAACTGTACTCATGACCTGGGGTTCAATTCCAGGTAACCGGCTCAAGGCTGACTCAGCCTTCTATCCTTCCGAGGTCAGTAAAATGAGTACCCAGCTCACTGGGGGGGCAATGTGTAGCCTGTATAATTAACTTGTAAACCGCCCAGAGAGTGCTTGAAGCACTATTGGGGCGGTATATAAGCAGTACACTTTGCTTTGCTTTGTTCACAGATTTATTTAAGGTATGGTCCCTGGAAGGGTGTCCTGTGGATTTTGCTCTTTGTCATGGATGGGGACTTGCGAGTCATGAGTCACTGTTGAGTCCAACTGAAGTTGCACTGGCAACTTGACTTGGACTTGACTTGGGGTTTTGGGAGGGACTTGTGACTTGACTCATGACTTGGACTCATTTGGGACTTGGGACTCAGGCCCGAAGAATCACACTCAGGCTTGGGAATTGAGCCCCAGACTCAGACTCAGGGAGAGAAAAAAAAAGGATGAATGCAGTACAGCAAGAGATGATCATATGAAGTCTTGAATCCCTGAGATCAAAAGCCCTTATGCTCCCCAGCATACTCGCCAGCTAGAAATAAAGCATACCAGATGTGGAAATGGTGTGGTAGAAACAAACAACAACAAAATCAGCCAGCACTCCGCCTTCCACTCTAACCAGCAAAGATCTGGTGGGATTCAGATGTGACTGTGGGATGAAGTTAATGTTCCACACTCTGTCAAATGGAAATTATGGATTACTCTTAATGTACCCCCCAATGTCCACACGGAATGTTAGAAGGATTGCACTTACCACCCTTCTTGTAATGTAGACTGTGATTAAAATGCTGTTGACAAACAATCCAAAAACGACTGCCACCACTGTCACTATGATCGAAAGATACTCAGATATGTCTGGGCATGGATCTGAGTCTGAAATTTTTTGAAAAAACAAAACACATTTTAAAGTCAATATACTTGTGATAAATGCATGATAACAATCTGGCATAGTCTGATAAGACCATGACATCTTCCATAGCAGCAGTATGTTAGAAAAATAAACAGCAGCACCTCCCATCCTTATTCAATTTCTTTTTAAAAACAACAACACATACACATTTGTTTTGGGGGAGAACAAGCACATTCTCCTCCTCCTTTCCCTTGAGAAGAGTCATGCCCTCAAAACAGGGAGGAGACAGGACTAGTCACTGCTAGTGATACCTTTGGGTAGAAAAATATTTTAAAGGATTTCATTGAGGTAGGGTAGCTTCTCATTTTAGTGGCACTGCCAGTGCCATTAAAGCAATTTTTAGGAAGACTTGCTGAGATTGACATCATTGTCTTTAAAATCATCACCACCACCACCACCACCACCAGCAGCACCACCACCACCACCACCATCATCATCATCATCATAGTGCCTCCCATTGTTTAAAAAGTAAAGGTGAAAAAATAAGGAGACTGTGAATCAAAAGGAAAAGTCAGAAGACATATCAAATATACAAAAGATTCTTTCTACCTCCATAATTTACAAAGCCACATTTCTCTCTACCACTGTCCCAATAAACCACAAAAGGTCACTAGTTTGTGTGTGTGTGTGTGTGTGTGTGTGTGTGTGTGTGTAATATTAATTTGGGCTCTCCTTCCCTTCTTTGGTTAATATTTGTGATGTCCTCTATGACTCCTGGATTTGTCAAACCTTTTTTTTTAATTTATTCATCTCTGTGTACTTTTTATCAGGGTCTTTGACCAGTCAATAAAATCAGACAAAAACAAAATATGTCAAAGGTATATGAAAACAAATAGATCTACAATTTTAAAAAAAATCCATGTTTATTTTTATTTCTCAAAACAAACACTGTCAGGAATACACAAACATTTCTGCAGTGCAGCTTTTCAGAGCCAGGACAAAGATCGATCAATTAATAATCAGCTGCAAGCCAGCCTAGCAGTTGTTAGAGCTCCCAGAATTGTGCCCTCCGCACAGCAGCTCAAGAGACAGACGTTTGTTCTCTCTGTGTGCCTTTCCAATCTCTCCCATTATTCTGGCCTTGCATCTCCCAGGATATCCCAGCTGTGCTACCTGGGAGGTCCTTGAAGCTACTGTCCCCCCCCCAAAGGGAATTTTTTTCAGGCTCTCGTCCTGGATATGCTTTGGATACCCTATCCCTAAAGTAGTGGGGAGTTGTAATTAATTAATTAATATTTAGCTATAATTATTAAAATGCCCATCCAACCTACCCATCCCTATACTGCACATAAACACTTTTCACCATGAAAATTGTTTTTTTTTCTATAGTGTTCCATTGACTCATATTAAGGCTTTTAAACAGTCTTCATAGCGGCATCTGTGTATGTCTGTGTCTATGTGTACTTAAAAGTGTATATAATATGTGAGAATAAGGGATCCATAAGAGTGCGGATTGGAATGGTTTGGATGGCTATGTACACCTAAATTAGAATGATATGCATTTGCTCTTGAAACCATCCACTTCCTGGTTTCACCCCACTCACTACTGGCATGATGGTTCTCCCTGAAATTCACCCACCATGGAATTCACCTTCTGGTAAAAGAGTTTCTCAACCTCAAGTCCATGAAGGCTAGCAGATAGGAATGATTAGCCAAATCCCCAAATTATATATTTGAGTGTAATATCCTGATTGTTTGTCATTTCGGGCACTGAATTTTGGAGACAACACACTACAAGAAATTAAGACAATAATCTTGAATTCAACCCTGAACTAACTAAACTACAGTAGATAGAAAAAGTAAGCCTTTTAGACTACAGCTTGTAGAATACCTGTCCATGGACTGGCCACTCAGATTAAGGGACTCTGGAAATTGTAGTTTAGAAAGTAACTTTTCCAATCACTGGTAAAGGTCGTGACTTGAATAGAGTATCAGAATAATCTTGCCCAGGATTGCTTTGTACGATGAATGATTTGGGAGTTACTGACTTGAAGGGGATGCACCTCAAAGACAAGTTTAATGTGTGGGCTCCTTTAGGGGCCAATCTTGTGAAACCATCTATAAGATTTCTTAACTCACCAATAATATAGAGTTGGGTCCCCTTTCCCATGACTGGGTAGTAGGGTGGAGGATAAAGCCGCTCAATCTTGCAAACGTATACACCTCCATCTGTTGACTGTAGGCCCCGAAGTGTCACGTTGACACTCTCATGACCAGGATGGACTTGGCAGTGGATACCATCCTTCAGGCTGAATGGCTTGTTGTCCTGGATAGGAAGCGGTGAAGCACAGATCTGGATGGATGTGTTTCCTGTCTCTTTAAGTAACGTTACTCTGAGTTCTTTCACATCTTTAGCATTCTTGTATTCACAGACGAAGTTGACAGAATCTTGACTTTTTGCTACTAGGAATGCTGGCTGGGTCACTTCCATGACTACAGTGGAAAAAAGAGATACAGAGCATCATGAGAAATAAATGTGTCTAAAATATACCTTAAAATATACGTCTGAAAAATGAGCTGTAGGTTCTCTGTAAGAACAGGCAGCAATGTCAAGACTGATAGTTTTCCACTCTCAGGTTTCTTCAATCACAGTTCTATATAGGCTTACACACGTACACATACCTGTACAGATTTTCAAATGAACACATGCTAATGTTTATTTTCAAAGTTTATACATTTTCATAAGCATGCCCTCACTGTCTCAAGCCTGTTTGCATGCATTCTAAAACTGTGTAACATTTTCTTTCATGTAAACCCAATATGAGTGAATTAGGTCTAAGCTTCAAGTTGGATTTTATATTTTTATTATTATTTTCTCTATTCACCATTACCTTTCTACCAATTGGTTGTGACATGATTAAAAATTATAGCACCAGACAAAGGCAGTCTCATAAACATACAGAGTAGAAATGAAATCCCACAAACTAGTCTTGAATCCAAATATACTTATTTGAATGTGTGTGTGTGTCTGCTTTGTCTATTTATACCACAGAGAGTCTCAATATTAAAAAATGCATACTCTACTACCACACTCACCATCCATGCAGGCTCCCTTCTATTCTCCAGATTATAGAGATCAAGCATACACACACACAGCCATGATGCTTGGATGCAGCTCTGACTGAGACCTCCAGCTCCACTCCTTCCTGTGTTGCAGTTGTTAAGGCCCTCAGCAGGAGATGAGGCTGCAACCCTTCTCTGGCCTTTAGCGCTCCCTGATCTACTGAACTTTTGTAACCAAAGGTCTAATTTCTGGACCTGCTCCTTTCTCTTCTCTCTCCAAAATCTTTTTTCATTTTATGTTGTGTCTTATAAACCTGTATGTGGGGCCTGCCTTATTTCTGATCTTTTTAAGCCATTCTGGAGTACCTTTTAGCAAAAAAAGCAGCTTTTAACATAGAATAAAATAAAATATAGGGTAGAGTATAAGGTCCTCAGGGGAAGATCTATCCTTATTCATTGTAAAACACCACATACTTAGTTGGAGCACACAGTTCCCTATAGTAATAAAAACCTCAATTGCCAGTTTATTCCTCAAGTCTTTTCTGGACTATAATTCTACATGGAAGGACTTTCTTAGCATTTATCCTCTCTCAACAACCCACCTTTGGTGAAGCCAGCAGCTAAGATGGAAAACAGAATAGTGACAAAGAGAGCCATCATCTCATAGTCCAGTGCTGAATCGATGCTGAACTGATGCTTGAAGCTTTCTTAGTTCAAGACAGGCTGGAAACAAATTAGAACTGCAGAAGAAGGAATGGATCCTTTTTCAGGATGCAGGAACTTGTTGAGTCCACACAGGTGATGTTTGATAGAGTATCTGACTGAAGACCAAACAGAAAAAGAAGGAGCTCACCTGCAAAGGTAATCACAGTTTTGTTATGGCTTTATGAGAAAGGAAATTGTGGGTTGGATCATGATGTGCACGTTTAAGAGAAAAATTAGTCAATACGAAACATGTCGTCAACTTTCAGGTCATAGATTGTGAGAAGAGATGGCTCAAGAGATTCAAGTTAGGTCATTTCCATTACCTCTTCATGTATTTTCCCTTGTGGAAACAGGAAGCTTCAAGTGTCAACAATTTAATTAACAGTTTGATTACAGTCAGACTGTGCCCACCACACCTGCTAATACTTCATTCATAACACTTAGCTACATTGTTTTTACATTTCCCTTTGCTCATGCATTTTCTACCCAGAGGTATAACCTTAACAGACACCATGAGAAGTTTTTCCCTAAAGTAGCCAATGTTATTTAAAGAACCAATGATCCAAAATCTTGATTAATTTACACACCAAACAAAACAATTCCAGGTGCACTGTACCTATACTGGGGATACAAGCCTGAGCAGAAAGGAGGAAAGGGTATGCAAAGGCTATACTCTGACTAGACTTGAGGCTCCCCAGGAACCAGCCCAGGCTGCAATAACATTACTATATGGGGGTGGGGGTCGTTTCTTACTTAGTTCTTCTGTGTCTTTAATGGAAACATATTTCGTCGTCTATAAATTTTCAAAATCTGTTGGTAGATCCTACCAGAAGCCGAATTAGGGGGAGGGGGGAAGCAACATGAGGAGCCCTTCATTTCAGACTTTGGTCTCATTCTAGAACAGAGAAAGTGTGTGGTGTTAAACTAGGACCTGCACATAAAGAGGTGTACTATTCTATAAACCATGTTCTCCGAAGAGCCGCCAGACCCACCTGGCACAGGAAACAAGAAACGTGTAGAACCTTAATGATTAAGACATTTGTTCTGTAATAAGCTGTTGTGGACTACAGCCCACTCCATCAAATGCATGAAGTGTAATATTATTGTGGCTGTTATATTGTAAGATTGGTGGATTTTCTGTCCATCCTCCATAACAATACCCAAAGAGGTAGCCATATTAGTTTCTCAGGAACAGAGGGAAGCACTGGTGCTGGTAAGATTTACTGAGACCCATGTGTGAGTAAATATCTGATTTACATGCAAGGGGATGTGCATGTTCACGCACATACACATCTGCGCACACATCATATCGCTATGCTTAGGGCATGGTAGCAAAGCTCCAGTATGGGCTATAGAGTAATTTGAGAAATGTAGGGAACTTAAGAATTAAAATAAAAATCTTTTTTTTTACAATTCTTGAAATTACCATACAGTCTTTGCATATGGGGGATCAGATTGTGGTGTGTGTGAAAGAAAGGGCCTATCTTGTAAGTATTTCATTGGCTCTCAAAAATGGCACTCAGGCACTGGTGGTGTCATGATAGCAACTGAGGACCAAAGTGTAACCAATTTAGGCTGAAACGTTCCCTCTATTGAGTACTTGTCCAAAGAACAGTGTGTGCACCACTGCGTTTGAGACTGTTTCATGTCACCGGTGGAACTGATGGATGAAGTTCCTTGAGATGTGACAGTGTGCACCCATATTGGTGTATCACACAATGTCCATTACAATCTATTACATATGAAGAAATCTGGACTATTCCAGGTCTGAACTAACATACGATACCTGAGTAAGATTCTATTGTAACATGTCAACAGGGGTGATTTTTACTAAATTGTATGGGGTCTGTTTTGAATGAAATACCAAATATCTTACTTTGAATATTTAGGCATTCAGAAACCTGCCTTTTGTTAACGTGTGGTCCTGTTTTGCTTCCAAGTTGATTGACGTGAGATTATCTGAGCTTCCTATAATATGGAATCATAACTGTCTAGCAGGGGGCCTGTTTGAAGCCTGGAAGTATGCAAATCTAATTTCAGGCAACATCTTTTATCCTTGCTTATTTTTCCGTGCTTCATGTACATATTAATGACCTCACATTTAACTGAGAAACACCAACTATATATTCCTTTCTTTTCTCTCTTTGATGTCATTAGTCTGGTTTCTCACATAGCACTATTTCTTTACAGATGACCTTAAATGTTCTGGGTATCTGTGCAGAATATGGATAGAAAACAGCAGATCCATAGTGTTCTCATCCAAAACCTGCAAGGGGGCCACAGTTCCCCACACCTATTTCCTTTTTAAAATAATTAAATTTAATCTTAGATCCAGCTTTTCTGCCCGGACTATAGAAGTACAGCAGATAATAAACAGGAAAAATTTAAATAAAACAATAAAAAATTACAACACAGACACATAACTAAATGTTTTCAGCATTAAAATTATTAAGAAAATATATTTTTAAATGCACATCACCCAGCCATTAAAAGGCCTTTTCTCAACAAATGATAGGGTGCTGAAAAGCTGGCTGAACATAAATGTCTTTGCCTTCCAGTGAATGGACAACAAGGGGTATCTGCAGACAGACCACCATTATCCATTGTGATATTATTTATTTGAGAGGGGGGCTTTCAGACAACACAAGGCCATTATCAATTCTTTTGTTCCCCTTCCGTGCTATCTCTGCATCATATCCAACCCACAGAGAGGCTACTACTATATTTGTTCCACATTTCATTGCATAGTACAACCAACATCCTACTGAGTGTGTACTCCAAAACCAATTAATTTCCTATGCATCTCACCCACAATCATTCAACCCCCTTAATTTTTTAAAAAAAATAATCTTCAAATGGGAATGTTGGCGTCTTGGTATACTTCTATCAAATATCGAGCATCAGCCCCCCTACCATCTTTTGACTGACACTGCAGTGCACTTGGGTTCTCTTCCATAGAGAGTAACGAAGCACAGAAAGAGGAAGAAATGGCTCAGATCTGTACGTGGGAAGCAAGGGCATTTTGCCAACACAGCAATGTAGCCATACACACACCAAAAAAAATTTAAAGGGAAGGGGGGGCAGAGAAAGCATACAAAAAGAAACAGGATATCTCCCACTTGAGGGGTTTACATGAATGTACCACATCTAATTCACCCCCAAAAAAGGATATGAACCACTATCACAAAATATATGCCATGTGAACTCAACCGGCAACTAAGCAGAAGTTCTGAGAAAGAAGGTGGACATTTCTCTAGTCTGACCTCATTGACCATTAAATCTTACTTCCACACTGGTGAAGGGACGCTAACCTCTGTCAGGGGAAACAGCAGAGGGCCCTTTCTCCTTGCACCTGTCAAACTGTGTATTTTCCCAGCCCAATTCCAGACGTGCCACCTTAAAAAGTGAAGGGACTTCAAAAGTTGATTTGTGATGTCACATTCTGCAGGGAAGTCAAAATTCTCCCTGGGAATCTCCAAGCCTTTAAAGTAGTGTTTTGAGTGGGACCCAATAGAATGTTTTTGTGAAATCTCTGGATATTTCGAGTTATAGGAAGGTTCTCTTAAGCAGCACATAAAGTGTTCACAATCTTTTGTATTATTGTACATATGTTGTTGCACCCATTCCCTAAGGAAGCTTTGTTGAACCTCACACTTCCTTTAAGCTTTTTTCAAGTTGCTGAACTTCTTTTATTAATTTTTATATCCTGCAAAGCACTTGTGGAAGCAAAGAAAGGAGAAGCCAGTAGTGGACAGAAACCTAATATACGGTCACTCTGGTCTATCATGGATGATGAGGAATTTGACCCCTAAAGTTTTTTAAAATCAATTTAGTGGAGTTCTCTGTCAATCAACAATCTCTCTCTCTAGGGTTTTTTGGGGGGACCATGTCAAACACTCAAGGCATCTCAAGGCTAACTTGGTATCAAATAAGTAATCTTATTAAACAAGCTGACATCAGGAAATAGGCCACGGGATGCCTCACCCCTTTTGAAGATGTTTTCCTCTCTGTAGCTGAAGTAGATAAAGGAGCAGTATCCATAAGTTATTTGTTGATTGAGGCAGATCTGGACTCAACTTTGGGGCAGTGTGAGATGTGGGAACATGATTGGAGTATTAAAATTAATGAAGAGTTGTATTCAGAGATATTCACAAAATTTCCATTGCTGGGGGGCTGCATTGAAACTACTCCAAAAATGGTATTTGATCCCCAGCCCAACATACATGCATGTAGTATCAATCATGGTGTGGCACTCTAGAGTACGGCTGATAGCACTGTGGGAAACATTAACCACCAAAGTGCACGTAGATAAAGGGATAAAATGTTAATTCACCCCCAAAAAAGGATATGAACCACTATCACAAAATATATGCCATGTGAACACAACCGGCAACTAAGCAGAAGTTCTGAGAAAGAAGGTGGACATTTCTCTAGTCTGACCTCATTGACCATTAAATCTTACTTCCACACTGGTGAAGGGACGCTAACCTCTGTCAGGGGAAACAGCAGAGGGCCCTTTCTCCTTGCACCTGTCAAACTATATACTATACTTTCCCAACCCAATTCCAGAGGTGCTGCCTTAAAAAGTGGAGGGACTTCAAAAGTTCGTTTGTGATGTCACATTCTAGTGACCGTTTTAGTTCTCAAACCTATATAGGCTCTCTAATATGTCACATACAAAAAATGATTCATACTTTTATTTTCATAGATTAATTTCTTTGCACTGAATGCAGCCCTCCAGGAACTGAGGAGGACAGAATTATACATGGAACGTGCCTGTGGTTAAAAACTGCTCAGCTACATAAATGCTGATGCATGACATACCACTGGAATCTGGTTTACTGTCAGCATAGTATCTATATCTGTCAGATAAAAATTACAGCTCTTGTAGCACAGGAAACCATTTACTTGCTAGATCACATCAACACAATGGCTTCATCATCATATTTTTTCCCAACTCATTAAGCACTTGGTGTTGACCACACAATTACAAAGAAGAGAATCATTTCACACAGCAGTGCATTTTGAGGGCTTCCAAGAACAAAGCCAATATCTATCTTCTGTCGTCCAAATATAGAAACAAACACAAGTTCCATGACATCTTAAAGATTAACATGTCTTTACACTGAAATCAAGACTGTTGGTTTCATTTGATAAATTAGTGCATAATCAGTTCCCTTATGGAAATCCAGAAATATAAAG